TGGTGCTACTGCAAACCTACTTTCTATCGTGGAAAACTACTTTGAATCACTAATCGTAAATAACAGACCCCCATTGCTAGCTATTAGTCCCCTTAGTCTGAAATGAAACATGACGGTAACATTTCAAAGTTGGCGTTTTTTAAACCAAGCTGTTTCAAGAAGTTATCAGTGGAAGATATATATACATAGATGTATCTTTTTCGAGAATCATTTATCTGAATCGACTACCGCATGACAGCTTAAAATTCCCAGGTTGTCCCTCATAAACTAGAACTGAAGTTTTAACGGCCGGATATGCCGTACATTTGCTCATGAGAATGGTCGGAGGCAATATCCCACAACTGCATTTTTATGAGCAAAACAAAATCCTTGGGAAATTGTGCTTTGACTTTAGCGCTTGACACGTTGTTAACAGGATCTGAAATTCTGCATCCGAGCAAGGTTTCTTTGGGAAAAATAAAACTAGTGCAGAAATACACATTTCGAATCCCCACAGGTATTAACGAACGGGTAAGTGACAAAGAATGAAGAAAATCACACGATGTCGCTAATGGAAATGTGATCAAAAACTGCATTACCAGCTTTGCACATTAAGTCTAGGCCTTATAATTATGATGATCAGTGCCAACGCAGAGTATAGCAATAAAAGATGAATAAATAAACAGCAACAGAAAGGGGAAAATATGATAATAGTATACTGTACTGAATCAACAATAGTAATTCTTGTCAAAGGTTCATGCAATAAATACGAGTAGAAAATGCTGGTAGTACCTTTTAGACGACTACTGACTCGACTGAGCGGTGTAAAGGGAAAACGTGCACCCCAAGGGAGTAGATTCAATGGGACTACTTAAATTTTAGAAATGATTTAATCCAGAACAAACGGTACTTTTGATGATTTTGATTTCACAATGCGTTTCCTGCTACAAACAGTGCCCCAATGTAACCCAAAGAGTATGGCCGAAACTATTCCTTGGCCGGGTAAACAATTCAACAACGCCTTCGTTTGTGAACTGGTAACCTCCGTCAAACGATGACACTGCAGCATGCGAAAAAAATGACAGTGCAACATTGACTGAACGTCGTTTGTTTTTCTACCATTTTGAAATTCTATTTCTGTCGTTCGTATGTCCTCCCTGTTTTTATAACAACTTCTTAACAACGAGACGAGTCAGCCAGGCAGAAACAGTATAATCGTATTGTCTCCTCTAAATAAATAAAACACCTTAACATGATTTTTCAAAGAGAAAAATGAGCCTCGGTAATAACATGAATACGGGGCACGCACCTTGGAGGAATAGAAGAAGAGAAAGTCAGCACGCAAACACACATTAATGGGATTACAGCTGTAACATTTTTAACCCTTTTTTCTGTTTTTGGCGTGTGTATTGATTAGTTCTTTACAGACTTCTAAGGGGATGTGTTAGGTAACAATAGTCTAGGGCGTGTATAGGGATTGGACAGGTAAAGGGGTGGTACCCCTCCGTCCCATATCTTGCCTGGTATATCTTTAAATTAGCTTGAGCTTATTTGAAGTGTGAAGTGGACGTGGTGTGGAAAGTACCAGAGCAAGCAGGGTCAGCGTGAGAATGCCACATGATTCCGCTATACACCAGGATCAGGCTGAACAGGAATCTGGGTCCCATGGGGCCTGACCCCTTTCCGGGTCAAAATATGACCCTTTTGGGGGGTCATATTTGATGCTTGCTGGGTCAAATATGACCCACGACAGGTCATAATTTGACCCGGAAAAAGGATCAGGCCCCATGGAACCCAGATTCCGGGTCTGTTTGACCCTGGTGTTTTTAGAATAGGCACAACATTTGAATAGCTCCCATAAAGTGTTTTCTTGTTGGCCACAAGACACAATTTAGAGGCAACTTTGCCCAGTAGACCCAAATTCCGGTGTACTTGTTCTTTTATGCCCATGTATAAAGTTTTGTAAATAGACTAGTTATAAACCAGAAAGGAAGAACACGAGGGTCATACCTCTACCGAGGGTTAAAAATGAGAAGTTGCCGCCCCATCCTTTTGGCAGTCGCATTCTTACAACAGCTTCTGTGTCTCTGTGTTTTGGGAGATCTGGAAATTTTGACTTTAAAGCTTTTCAACAGATTTCGTGATACGATCCACTTTTGGGTTGTTTTTGTGTAAGCACGCTGTCTTTAGACGGTCATTGCCATCACTCCGGGCGCCCTCTTTCGCTCGCTTGCAGACAACAAACAGCGCAGGGGCACACCTCCCCCTTCCGATTGAATCACTTTACAGCGTACGCTGATGATGCGCTCAGCTGCTGCCGCCGGTGCTATTCCCAATGGCAAGATAATGATCTGTTGAATTGGCAGGCTCTGCGCTCCAGCGGTATTTGCTCAATTACCAGGGGAAAGAGTTCCGATCGGCCGCTGTGGAAAAGAGTGATAATTTCATCTACAGACAGAAAATGACACATTCCGACTAAATGGTTGGGGATGCTGAGCCCTTGGAAGCCATCCGTGGCAGAGGTTGGACACACTTAAGTTCAAAATTAGGGTTTTCCCCCTTAAGCGTGTCCTCTCATGGGACAAACCGATTGACATAACTCAATTTAGTGCAGGAATTCCAGATAGTAGTGATGTGTCCATGCAAAATGTTGCGTTTGCTACCACAAATACAAACTTTATAAGTGGCCATCTGCGCCTGCTCTCAGAGGGGGATGATTGTCGGAGGACAAAGACAGTAAGCACTCTGGTCGAATGGTAAATAGGCCCTTATCCCATGCATCAAAAAGCATACTATAATGAAACACTTTTGAAGAAATACAATCATCTAAGCAGGGCACAGTGTACACGCAGTGTACAATTTTGGCCCTCCAGTTTTCTAGAGATTTAAAATACATGTAATACAGTTATTGTAAATGCAAAATGATTGATACATTTCAACCGAGAAATATCCCATGCATTGACTTGCATACCGCAGGTTGATCCTTTAAAAATCACCGAACTATTTTTTGCGGCTGTCACGGGCATATGCACCATTATTTCATTAGGGCCCTATATATATGCATACATATATATGCGCGTACCTCGTCAAGGGTTCGCGTCCACCTATCAAAACTTTTCTTCTTCAAAACGTTGACACGAACAGAGACCCTTTGAACTACTTTGTAGAGGGTGCCGTTTATGATCGCAACAAAGCTTGCTTCAACCTTAGTCCTTGCTTCGAAAGTTCACATCTTTACAGACTATTCCATTGGTGGTTATCAAGACCCCCCCTCCCAAAAAAAATAATAAATCCACAGGGGCACGTTGGTCTTCACTCTAGAGGATGATGCCATTGTTTTTTTTTTGAAGCGCCAACACTTCCGAAACGGCACTAGCACTTACCTTTTAAAGGGAAGGGTAACAGATGGAAAACAAGGCTAATCATTTGAGACACAAATATAATTGGCACATACTCTTCCAACTGAGACTTGGATACGCCACTGGATTTCAAAATGTCCAGGGACATTTGAATAATTATTCATTTAAAGAACTTTTGTAGTTTTATTCTTATAAGCGCTGCAACCCCAAATGGTTCTTGCTGGTATGCTTACCTTTGAAACGATCCTTTGACTTCAATGTAGGCCCCTAACATTCATGCACTTGAAAGACAATAAAACAGCAATTTGCAGGTGACCAAAGGTGTACATCAGTTAACGAACTCAATGACTCCTTCCTCAGTTGAATACCCAATCTTTCATGCATTGTGTACCAGCAATGCCAAGTATTTGTCGTCGGGACTGCCAGCTCCTAAGCATTGTTCAAACAATGCTTCCGTCCCATCTGAAATATTTGGTATTGTTATTAAAATTTTCAGTGAACAAAAAACCCCGGAAGACAGCTGCAAGGAAAGAACAACTTGTTCGCTTTTTTTTCTTCTGGGCACTGAATTTCACTGAAGGAAATAACCCCAAAACGTTGTGGGTTTTCCGCGAGCATGCGTGCAGGCATTTTATTGGGTCTTATGATTTATGAGAGCACACGTCGTTCGACAGTGACGCTACAGCGGACGGCCCACTTGCAGGGCGCTCAGCCACCGCACGCACATTGTAGTCGATCGAGTAGACAAGCAGACGATCCAAAGCCCGTGTTGGTGCCGGACGTCCCTCAAAACGAGCTCTGTCTTTCGTCGTTTCACTTCTCCTGCACCACCGAAGAGCATCGTCTCTTGTTGGTAATTAGGATTATCGACTGCGTCCCCGGAAACTGGATTCTTTGCGACTTCTTGTGCCTGCTCAAACACTGAGAAGCAATTTCGGTTCTGGTGAGTACATTAACGTCTTTTAAAATTAGTTATATTTTACAAGTTACAGCACCACTGACATCCGACAAGACCTTACATGAAATGCACACTGCAATGAATAAGGGACACTTTAATTTCGATTTTACGGTCACATTATTTTTATCCCGAAACTAGGAAGTCATCTTGTGATATGACATTTAGAACTCTATTTGGAGGTAGTTAATGTTTAAACGAACATACGCTGGAAATGAAGGTTTTTACTGATTTCAGGTATGGTTTGATTTTGAAAATAGGAGTGGGAACGGGATCAAGGAGATATATCTTAGGGTGGACTTTGTAAGGGAAAAGGAAAACACTCATCAATGACTCTCTGTCAGAAATACTGTTCAAATCAAAGTGTAAATTTTCATTCGTACGACATTATGCCACTTCTATTCCGACCGCCTGAACGAGAACATCTTGCCGCACAAAGTTGGTCGGAGGAATCGCCAGCCCTATTTCCAGTCACACCACATCGCTCACATTTTTGTCATCGGCATGGTTTTATACGTAATTTTGAAGGGGTGGATTGGTAGCTAAAGAAAAAAAAACAGGAGACGACGGAGCAGATACCTGCATTCACATTAAATCGTACTTTGAAATTCTTGGTAAATATTTCCTTCACTGGTAAAGAAAAAGGTCTGGCCTTTGAATCTTGACCGAGGATTCCCATGCAGGACTTAACCGCTCGTGATGTTCAGACTTCATTTTTCGTACCTGTATCAATTAAGCACCTGTACACAATTTGTTTGACCATGCATAGTAACTTCAGCACAGACACAACTTCCTCTGCCAATTCATCCCAGCTAGCTCTGTCTCTGTTAAAACGGAGGAGTTCTATAACGTGTCTGTTAGAATTCCCCTTAAATAATACATAGTCTTAAACAGGTTTTTTTGCGATCAGTCTTGCGTTGTACAATAACTATGCATGTCATATGTACGTAATGTGCCTGTAGAATTATGGTTTGCCTCTGTGACGGAGTGTCACCTAGCCTCAATGTGGACGTTGAACCCGAGTGCAGGACTCTACTTTCGTCAAACGGTGCTTGTCATTTTAAGGGTGTGCGTTCTAGGCAAGATTTTCCTATCAACCTGAACAAAGTTTTAGGTTTAAACCATGATTACATTACAAAAGGAAAACGCAGGCACTATAGATTTTGATGTTAATATTTTCTGACTAGTTGGGGGAACAATCGCCATTGCGTCCACTGACTACCAGGCATCGCCACTCAAAAGGGGGTGGGGGCGTTGCAAAAAAAGACTTTGAATCAGAGCGTAAAGTAAATAATACATGAACATGTGCTGAATAATGTACCTGAAAACGTCGAAAAATGAGCTACACTTCATTCATGGTCGGCCATATTTAAATTGAAAGTGAGGTTTATTCTTACTTTTTGAGACTTAAGGGTAGAAATAAAAGTTCGCAACGAAAGCTCATGACAAAGTAGTTTCTGTGTACTCTGATGACTACTTTCATTTGATAATTAAAACCAGATTTTGACAAATACTCAAAAGGGAGGCTAGTAAGCACACGGGTACTAAAATAATCTCGTACCATTTATATCAACAGTTTATAATAAAATAAAAAAACACAGATTTAGGGAAAGAGATGAAAAAAATGGCTTCCTGGGGAATTGGGCAGAGTGTAAATAAATCTGTTTTATGCATTTTAAATCCAAGCTTATATAGGGGCAAATATAATAATTAATATTCATCAGCTTTTTTAGTCCAAAATTATTATATGAACGTCTCTAATAGATGTGCTGCCCATGGTCAGCAAGGCGGGGTCGACTTTGCTCGCCAGTGGCGCTTGTTTCAACTTAAGGAGGAACATGTAGAAACCATTTTTTGCCTTGTTATTTAACAGTCAAGTTAATCGCTTTATATAAATGTATGAACAGTGAGTGTCAAGCCTTTTACTTCTTTCCCGGCTATCAAACAAGTTCCTATCGTTAGCTTACTTCATTATCAGTGAGTTACGAAATACTATTCCGTACACTTCAGCAAATCCAGCTACACGATAAAAAAGGAGACAAGGCAAAGAACCCAGCCCTTACGCTGAATGAATATAAATCATATTTTTTATTTGTTCTTCTGTCATCGACGTAACGTCTGGCTGATTTTTTTTTTACCAGCAGCGTCTGGAGCTGGGCATTAAAACACGATCTGAATGCTAATTTGCATTCATATTATTCTACCGTTATGTAAACCCCTGCCAATAATAATACCGGCATCAGAAATAGTGCAAGTCATTGTTCAGAATAATTAAAAATCAGCACCAAGCAATTTTATGCAGTAGCCTACACAACGCTTTCCCTGGTGTCGGGCAGACGGGGCGGTAGACACACAGTTGTGTCTTACCATATCTCTGACAGGAGGCCACTGTGCTTCCTGATGTCCCAACACTCTCCCCTAGATAAACCACAAGCATTACCACCGAGGACAAGGGGACACCATTTCTTTCTTTTGTATCTTGCCCTCAATGGTAAACTGAAACATACACAGTAATGCGGAATGATTTAGTTGTATCCGAGCAAACGCAATTCCTCCTTGGAAGATTACCGTGGAGATGGTGATGTTAAGAAGCACAATCAAAATGTCTCCTTGTGAAGACTTTTTTCTTGCGCTTCAGGGCTCCTTCTCATGTTAGTCACGTGTTATCACCCCGTTTGGTGTTCGTCTTCCCCCCATGTAGACAGTTTCTATGCATTTGTGTACACTTTTTCCCCCCTTCACATATTTCGCGCATCTGTAGCAATACGTTCCAAATGTTCATAAAAATTACTGTTCTGTTGAATATTTTGTATGTTTTGAATTGGTCGCTAAGTAAATTAAATTGAACTTCATGCGCTCCTCTCGAATCTCTGATACCACTAGGAATAATAAACACCACCGTAGGAGCATGTACAACAATAAGTTGATTTCGTCCAGAAATTTACTCAGGAACGATGGAGATCAGAAAAAAAGCTTTCATGGTAGCTTTGAGAGTAATATGTCACAGAATGGACCATGTTGCAGTAGCGAAACGATAATCATTAATCACTTAGACACTTTGGACATTCGGCAAAATGTGACAGTGGGCACTCGATTGGCTCAAATTAGATTCACGTTAACGGGTGAAGTTGGATCGAAATGAAATCCACTTAAGTCGTGGAGTCGGCTCGTTTCAATCCAAAACTGTGGACTGCAGTGACAAAAGCAAAAATTCATTTTCGTTGGCGTTTATTTGATTCATTCTAGCCAATGGCTTTCCAAAAGACACACGGTTGTTTTTTCAAAGTTTGTCTTTCCACGTTTTAATTTAATATGAACAACGTTACTCTTCGAGTGTTTCTACGAGCAAAAATAGTATAATTAATCACCCGCATATACGTGCGGGTTTGTGAGCGTACTTGAAGATCATCATGCGGCGTCCATATCACAACACTCCATCAAAATGTGAAATATCATTTAATGTCTTATGTATATGTATTATTTGGATTTAATTGTCTGTCTTCCTTCTTTTATCGCATTGTGCATGGTCCACCTTTTTGGTGCCAGAACAACTAAAAGTTGTTGTTAATACCATGTGTGATGAGATCCGGGAAAATCTTGTTTTGGAGATAATGGCAAAATAGCCCACATGTTTTGGACAATTTGCGATGGGTTTTTACCATTTCAGTTGTTATTATCCATACAACTCTTATTGATGCAGTTACAAATTTAATTTGTAATATTTCAGTCAAACAATTTTGTGTTATCTCAGTGAACTTTTACTCTGAACTTTGAAGCTTGATTTCTAAAAAATGAGGTTAGTACTTTGGAGTATTACTCAACTTAAGACAACCTAAAATGATAAATTACACCATGTCTTTGTTTTTGTATATACGTGTATACAGTGGTGTATATAACTTTAAAAAAAAAAACCAATTTTCACCATTTGAAGAGTGTTCCCGGATAACATTATATGTATATAACCTCGGAGTAGCCCACTTGTACCTTATCTATATCGTTTTGTTATCCTGAAAATGAGAGTTGCAAGGAACACATGGATTTCTGCACAAAGCCCAATTTTTCAAAAGGGACGTTGCACATTACACGTTCTGGTGGAAATTGAAACATATCACTCAGGCAGGAGAAAAAAAAACAAAAAACAAATAGAAACAGAATATTCCAGGACAGTCATTTATCAACCGTATTTAAACAAACAAGCAGGTATCGACACAGTTAAGGGAAGAGAGTTTTGGCATAATGGATGTACATGTAGTGCACCATACCTGCAAGACGCCATGTACTTCGAAGCTCGACTACAATTGTGGAAACAGTTACGTTTGATCTGACGTCTGCTGGTCACCGCCCGTTTTCGAGTACTCGCAGTCCACAGAGCAACAGACACAAATGGGAGTTGAGAAGCATTTAGTTGTCCGTTCTGCCTTGACGATCCAAAAAGCCGAACGTTTGTGCATCTGTGACCAGATCCCAGAAAAAGACTCTTAAGGGCACGTTGTCCACTTTCTACGTTAACATATCGTGCATCACAAAGAGCATTCTCACCTCAAGTCATTCGTTTTTGTAACATCGTCAAGTTTGACATGCCGGTGGGTATTTTTTTGTGAATGTTGGGTTACATCGATGGAACGTTGGCTGTTTTTTGTCATTATGGAAGATACAAAGGTATGAAAGATGATATATGTTCCGGATTCATCCCAATTTTCCGTTACTGTTTAGCAGTCAATCCCTTTCTCAACATACCCGCGTAACAGACATGAACGAGCGATCGCTGAGATACAAGGAAGTGACTAGATACTAACCCGTGAAACCTGGTCT